TCCTTATCAAACAGTAAGTCCAGCCAATTAATTATATTTTTCTCCAAGTCATCCCATCTTTAGAATTGGTGCAATTTAGTCATTCAATTTTTCTAGTGTAGACTTTAACCCAAAAACTATAGATTTTCTTTAATTTCAGCATTCTTTCTTTTCCAATTACTTCGAACGAGTCCATGACTAAAACAAAAGAAAATTAACCCAAGTTAAGTAAAAAATAATAATTTGACGACATGAAACCCAAGTAAACTGACTTAAATAGGTGCACAAAATGCACTCAGCACCCTCCTTTGTCCATAAAAAAGAGGCATTTTAATCAAATANTAAGTGCACAAAATGCACTCATTACATGCATAATAATGAACAAATCACAACTTGCTCAAACGTAAAAAATGTAGAAAACGGAGGAGATAAATGAAGTGAGGTATACAAATACAAATCTTCTTCAGACGGATTTCGCCACCTACACTGGTGTTAACAGGGTTAAATGGACTTTCGTATCCCAAAAGACAATGCTTCTTCCAAAATTAATATGCCCCTGTTTGACACACATTTTGGAGAAAAAATAAATTTTGGAATAGTGATTGATGGAAGAGTGTGTGGTTAAAAAGTAATGAGATTTTTTGGTTTATGTGTAGTATTATTTTATTGATAGAATGTGTGGTTGAGATGAAGAAAGAAAAAAAAAATGAGAAAGAGAATGAGAAGAAAATGGGTGTTAAACGAGAGCTCACACTATTAATTTTGCCGAGCGACCCAACTTTTCTTCCAAAATTTAGTTTTTATACATTTTATTTTCTTCTAAATTGAAATTTTATATCTTTGAGCAATGATCCTTTTTTGTTTTTCACGACCTGCATTGAGAATATCTCCATTCACGTGGAAATTCGACATCGTAGACAAGAAATATTTTCTTTGGACACCAAACTCTAAAGATAAATTACAGAACATGATTATATTTTAATAATGCCGCTAATTTAAGTATAGCAACAATGTTTTAGATTTGTACGTGGAGTTCTCTTGTATTTTTCTCGTATTGAAATCCCATTTGAAGTTAAGGGGAAAAAAAAAGAAGAAGAAGAAAAGTCTCACAAATTAGAGCTATTTGTGTCAATTTCATTTTCCTCTATTAAGATTTTCCGGTTTAGCCCAATTAATTAATTCTGTTTTGCGTCGTAGAAACCTATTTTTTTCTTTTTAATTTTCAGGAAAGGGAAACTTGTGGTAAGGTTTGTGATAATTCGTCCATACCATGATTATAAACCTTTTCTTGTAAATTTTATTCTAGTAAATAGAAACGGGAATTTTCGTATCCACGTCATTACAAAATAAATATTCAAGATTTACTATGTGATTTTTATAATCTAAGTGTTACTTTGTCATATGGTTAATATTTTGGGAAATACTATATACCCAATTTAGACTCCATATAGTCTGTCACTGAAATTAATTTTAATTACACTAGTATTAAGTTGATCATTTATTGTTGTTTCTAAAGCATCTCAAAATTCAAAAAAACTTCATTGGCCAAATCGTAACACTTGCTTTTTGGGAAAAAATAATCATCTCTCTCTCTCTCTCTTTCTCTCTCTCTCTCTCTCTCTCCATCCTGTATGAATGTTCACTTGTTGCAGAAATGCATAATTTTCCGTTTTACTGCTCAATAATTTTCTGATTCACGACTCAGTAATCGATCCAGATACGTATAATTTGCATAGATTGGTTTAATGGAGCCCAACCTTGATCCAAATAGTTGTTGGGCTTCGAAATATTGATGGTTCACATGCAAAGCTACAGTTCTGATAATAATACTTCTCAATGTTATCACAACTTATATTTGAATGGGGAAAATTGCAATTACGGTAGCAAACATTTCACCTTTATGCAAATTTTGTCCAAATCTTTCATTTGTGCCGCTAGAGTTACCAAATCTTTAAAAAAAAATTGTAGCTCCAGTTCAAATTAACAGAAATCGTTAGTTTGGCTGTTAGTTGACCAAAAATCAAAAGTATGATAAATTGTTGACTATTTTTTAAAGGGCAAATGGACAATTTAAAAATTTTCATATAAAAAAAATTAAAATAAAATAATTGAAAAACCCTTCAATCATCTTCACCCACCCCCTACCCAACCCAACCCAAACCAAAAACCAGTTTAGTATTTGATAATAAAATCAAAAATCGCCGAAAGTTTCACCGAAATCTCACTGTTCACCGCCACCTTCATTCCTATCACCCAACCAAGCCGATGCCAGGCTTCGCGATCACATACCCATCAGAATCCACCTCCAACTGCCCGTCCAAAAACTTGGTTGTCGGCTCATGTCTAATCGCAAAAAACAACCCAAGGACGTTCAAATCGGTAACCTCCCCACCTACCACATTCTTTACCTTCAAACCCCCAAAGATCTTTCCCCGTACACCTTTGTCACCATGGAATTCCACAAGACTTCAATCTTTAGGTTTGACAAATCTCTGCTCTGCATAATCTTCAAAGCCCTAAATTCATCTCTTCGATGGATAATGTAAACCTTAGAAACAAGAAAGTGGAAGCATTTGGCCAAGCCCCAACACCATCACTGACACTAGACAATCGCTTCACCGATAATTCTTCAAGAAATTCGCAATTATTGAGCAATGCATTCATGCATTTGGCCTCGAAACTGTAAAATCCACGTGAAAATTTGCGCGACAGTTACAGAGCTTCAACATGGTGAGATTCCCACTTTTCATAGAAATCAGAATTAAGGTGAAAATGGAGGAGGTGGCAGTAATGCCGGCGTGGAGACGGTTGGTGGTGCCGGCGTTTGGGATGAGGTGGGAATGGGGTCAAGGAGAGATAGTCTTTTATCCTTTTTTTTTCCTTTTTTTAATATAGTTTTTATTGTATTTTATATTAAAATTGTATAGTTACTATTTTACCCTTTTAAAAATTGGTCAAAGTTAACTATTATAGTCAACTAACGGTTAAACGAATAGAAATCATCCATTTGGACTCCAGGTACTAATTTCTGAAAGGTTTGGTACCTCCAATGGCACAAATGAAAGATTTGAATAAAGTCTGCAAAATGTGAAATGTTTGGTACCGCTGCTGCAATTATCCCTTTTAATGAAAAGGATTTCCGTACAAGTGATTGAGAATAGATAATGAAAAAAAGAATCTCAA